TTGTTCCATCAGGCCTGGAATCAACCTGGACTGCTCTGCTCAAGCTCCTGCCTGGCATTGATCCATGGTCAAGGTGTGAAAAGTGTTGATTAACAGTGTTGCTTTGTTTGTAACCATGGATGCAAGAGGTCTGGGGTAGGTTGTCCTAGCTCACCAGCATTGTTTATTGATAATAGTGAGATTGATGATCTGTACCTGGTCTGGGTGAGAACCTGGAAGGGCTCTGCTGTCTAGTCTGGGTACATAGGACTGTGCCTAAGTGACTAGTAAAATATAAAACAACCTCAGCCCAGCCTGTTTTGGGCTCTCCACTTCTGAGGTGTTCTGTGCCGTATTCATGGCTTCCCCTTACCCAGATCCCCCTTCCAGAGGAAGACAAAGGAGCCCCCGAGTGACTTTGCTGGACCGCTTGCTCTAAACGCGTGCAGCTGATGCACGTCCTCATTTTCACAGTGTCGCTATACGGCATCCTCTTCCTGAAATAAGGGAGCCTTATCACCATTTTGGGTCCTGTGAATCTTCTTTAGAAATAAAACCCTGTTTAACTGCCCCTGTTGGTATAAACTCCAAATAGCATATCTGACAGCAGGAATTAATGTAAAACCATCTGTCGCCATAGGCCAGAACTTTCCGAACTCTCAGAGCCTCTTTACATTAAAGGTTCTAAGTGCTTGTTCTGAAGTCATAACTTGCCAGAGTTAATAACTAAACGTAGTTGTATGCTGGTAGAATTCTGACCACACTGTCTGGCCTCATGAGCGGGAGGGTAATGGTTACGCCAAGTCAGGGCTTACTTAACAGGAGAACATATCTATAATGAACTTTAACAGATATTTTCAGGATTTCATCCTGTTGTTGTGGGTGAACTCTTTTTAAAGTGAGCTAATAACAAAACCAATAATAGTCTCAAAAGGAACCAAGTGGATCAATACAATCTTTCATCAACATAAACTTTTAATTTTATCAATTAAAAATAATAATGCAGAGCTGTGTGACTCAGTTACTGTTAAAAATATATTGATCTTCGGGGCTGGCCCCGTGGCCGAGTGGTTAAGTTCGCGCACTCCGCAGCAGGCGGCCCAGTGTTTCGTTAGTTCGAATCCTGGGCGCGGACATGGCACTGCTCATCAGACCACGCTGAGGCAGCGTCCCACATGCCACAACTAGAAGAACCCACAACGAAGAATGCACAACTATGTACCAGGGGGCTTTGGGGAGAAAAAGGAAAAAATAAAATCTTTAAAAAATATATATATATATTGATCTTTGAGGAAAAATGACTCGAGACAAGAGAAGGGCTGTGTCCCAGGTAGGGGACAGCTGGGATTTTTCTGGCAAAGGTTGTCATGTTTACCACATGTGAAAAATACGGCTTTGTGCATTCTCACCCGAGCTTGTCTCAGTGCGTGTTCCTGCTCCAGGAACTTTTAATCCTTCTGGTGGACAAGTTCCTCATCACAGAGCCAGGTCCTTTATGTACACCTCCTCTACCCATCTCTATCCTACCCAGATCCTTACAAAAAAAGTTAAAATTATTTCCTTGTTGATTTAAAGCAGTGGTGCCAAGTTAGCTGAACTAAATGAAATTATTCATAAATATTTTGAATTAGACTTTTTTGCCCTCATATAAGTGATCTGCTTTTAATAACAGTTAATTAAATAAAACGTTAGTGTTTATATGAGAGTTGACAAAGTCAATCGTATTCCTTACATTCTGGAAAATGTTACTCCCCATCCCCTTGGAGGAGCCAGATGAGGTGTCAGAAGATGGCATCTGGTAGGCAAGATGTTTTTCTTGGAATGAAAATTGTTCTTAAATGCCAAGATCAGCTTGGACAACCACTATTTCTATTGTTCTTTGGTTTTTTTCTTTCTTTGCCAATCCCTCTTCCATTGGCTGATTTCCTTACCTTCTCTTTCCCCTTGAGGAAAGCTTCTGTCTGTAAACCATGTGAGATTTGCTGTGGGAAATACATTCCTCAGTGAGCAGTTAAATATTCTCTGGGGGTAAAGACAGAGCACAAAAAGGATTATTTGCAAATTCAGAAGAAATTGGTGCCCCTTACATCTCCACCAATCTTCACACGAGGCTAATTGGCAGGCAACCATTTTCTCTACTTTTAACAAGGCAATGTTTACCTTTAAGAGGTTGTATAAACCATACATAGGCTGTCTCCTATAGATATGTTATAAATTAATGGCTAGAATCCTAGGTCAGCTTAAGAAGCATCTAGGACTATACTAATGTTGCAAGTCTGAATTCTGGGTTCTGGAAAAGGGAAATCACAACTTGATGAAGGCAGAATAAGATAGGACCAAACGGAAACCAGAGGATGGAAAGAAGAGGCTCTAACAGGAAGAGGCCAGAGAAGAATATTTTGTTAGACTAAAAACTAAAAGACATCCACACTTTGGTTCTTTCCATTCCCCAAATAATGTAAAGTACTGTTTGTAGCAACAACCACAGAAACCATTTAATATAAATATCTCGCTTTTGACTCATAAAGAGGTTTCCTAACTCATTTTTCATTTTATCATCTTACCAATCCTATAGGGAGGGTAGGACTTGCATTATTCTCACCATTTGACAGATGGGGAAACCAAGGAACAGAACCACAGAATGGTTAAAGGGAGTGGAATGTAGCTGATGGCACAGTTGGGAGCTGTGTTACCTCAAATCCAGTCCAAGCTATTTCCTGGTAAACCACATTGTACTGAAAAAAGAAAGAAACAGAAGAACAGGTAGCTTATGCTACAAAACCAGAAAGTTAGATGTGGAGTTAGTTATGCTTTATTTCCTACGCTATGTTTGTTCTTTGTGAGACGGTGGTTCCTTCAATAGAGTGGTGAAAATATCCAGTATGACTTATTGGATCCTTGTTATTTTATCTGAGACACTGCAAAATTATAATCCTGGATATAGTTACTTGTTTTCTCATCATGTGTATATTTTACAAATGACCCACCTAGTTCTTAGTTCTCAAATATTTTCCACAATTAATGAATATATTAGTTAAATAGTAAAGAACAATTAACTGTACGTAATAGTTGGTGTGCCAATTTCTCCACCGACTAATTATGCCCGAAGAATCTGGTCCTGAGCAGGGCTGGGAAATCAAACTTAAGGATACTGAGTAACGTTTTTCTGGGGAGATGCTACTGAGGTGCAGTTTAACATCCCTCATTTCATCACTGCAAAAACCCCAAGGAAATCACGAGACTTTCCAAAGAAGCTATCTGCCGTTTCCCAGATTGTGGTAGCAAACACTGCAGCTCCCAGTTTTCCCACCCATTCAGCACTCAACAATGGGGCGACATGCATCCGGCAGGGATGCAGGTCCATGAAATTATGTCACTTTCTGTCCTAGAAAATTGAGAGCAAAATCAGATCCCCTAAAATATATTCTTATTAAGTAAAGGAAAGAGAATTCAGTTTACTTAATCCAACAAAATGCCAAAGATTGATGTTTATCTCCAGGTGGTCTGTGAAGGGATGTAAGACTTATAGAAAATAAAATGTTAAAAAATAGAAAGTTGTAAAGGTTTGTTTCCTGTCAATACCTTTAACCACTCTTATGATTCATTTCCTCCGTGCTCAGTTAACCTACCCAGAGATGGTGACATGGTAATACCAGGAACAATCGGGGGTTCCATTATGTTACAAAGGCATCTGGCTCACTGAAGAATTCTCTTGTCAACTTAATAAAAATGTTAAAAAGATTTAACTCCTGTGGATTCTCTGAATTCAGATTTTATCGAATGATACAAATTTCAAATATTCTCCACCAAGATTGTGTTCCAAGATTTCATTTAGGAATACGGTTCTCGTCCTGAACCTCCTCCCAGTCTTTCTAAAATTGAAAAGCAGCTGAAGAAACTAGTTCAAATTCACGTCAAACATCTTATGAAACATCAAGCATATATGGTTTGCTGAGCAAGCAGAGCTGTGTTTATTTGGAAACTTCCAAATGAGTAAGAAAAACATGTTAGATTTGAAAAAAAAAAAAACGAAGTAAATATGCACAAGAGTGTATGTGCGCATGTATATAAGCACACACATAGATACACACACATAGACACACACACACACATATGTTCCTCTGCTGAGAAATAAAAATCATTGACTCACTCACTGTGTGCTTTTTTCATCCATAAGACAAGCTAAACAACTGGTTTCTCCAACGTATTATTCTAAGTACACATGGAATAAGTGAGTAATAGCAGAAAGAGTCGTGTAGTAAGTGCCCCAAAGTAATTGGACGGTTCTGTAGGAGTGCAGAGAAGGGTGAAATCTGGGGATAACTTAGACAACAGAGTCATATTTTGTGAACAGGGAAGAAGTGGGCCTGGATTCTACAGTCTGTGGTGGAAAGTAGTCGGGATTCACAAAGGTGGATAGAAGGACTGAGTCCACAGGCCTAGGTGTGAATTGGGGATGTTGTCCTGGAAGCAGAGGGAAGCCAGTGCTCCCTCAGCTGAAGCGTGATGAGGTTGATGATTCACGAAAAATGAATCCAAATCTGCCTGCAAGACTGATCATTTCAGGTGAAATACTGAAATGGTGACCATTTGTAAATGAGCCCATAGTTTGCCTAAGTTCAAACACAACCTTTTCCATAAGGCTTTTCATAGAATCATTTTGAAAACGTTTAGCTTTTTAGTCTAGAAAGAGAAAGCTTAAGAAAAAGTCTCCCTATTTATTTACCAACTCTCTTCCTTTTTATTTGGAGTCTTCTCTCCACTCCCCCTCTTTTTATTTCATTTAAAATGTACCTTTCAGCGTCTACATGTTTTCTACTCTCCCATTTCTATCTTTTCTCCTATAACTCAAGATTTTCTATTCCACAAACACCTTCTTTAAAATGTTCCTGTCTCCTCTTGGTAGATTTTGCTTCCTAAATTTCAATATATATATATAATAAATTTATAGTATGTATGTACATACATATTTTTTGCTCCCTTTATTTCACTCCAACTGAGAGTAGAAGCCAATAGCATTTTTTTTCAACTCTAGCTATATAATATAATAAAAAGCAACCCCAAACCTGTTTCCCAATTTGCCATATTTCTTTGAATTGGGGGGTTTGCTTTCACTTACTCTTCTCTTTTCTGCGAGTTCTTTGGCTTTCTACTGACTGTATTTACAACATCCACATTTTCCAATCCAAAAATCGAGATTCACGGACCAAGTATGTGAAACCACAGATGTCCTTGAGGCATGTGGTTTTTCTGCCCATATTTCACCCTTTCTCCCCATAAATCTCTTTCTTTGCCTGAGAGGCCAGATGATCTAGTCGTCTGGAAACAGAACTAAGACTTGCAGGTGCTTGATTTACTGTTTCACTCATGGTATTTGCCAGGAACATTTTCTTTTGGTGGTGGAGGGGGGCGGGCGGAGACAAAGTTTACCTCTGGGTCTGCGTTGCAGAGAAACCCTACAGGCAGGGACACACCCACTTGGAAACAAGGCTTCCCTGGAAGTGGGAGGAGACAGGAACTGCAGGTGCCCTCCTCTGGGGGCCAGAGTCAGCTAACAGCGGTCCAAGTGCGCAGGAGCACTCACCCTGCACCCGAGCCGAGCCGTCGGAGACGAGTCCAGAGGCTGGCTTGCCTGTGAGTACCCACTTGCAGCTGCGGAGGGTTTCCCAACTTTGGGGTTGCAAAGCTTGACCAGTAAGGCTCTCAATCGCTTGAGAAATGGTCCGCGAAAGGAGAGAGAAGTTGGGCTGTTTTAAAAATGTCATATTATTTTCCGTTGATTTATTTGTCCTTAAAATGGAGCAAATAAGCCACACATCTGGAGTAAGCTGCTGTCAGGAAGGTCTTATCAGTTGTTGGCTTTGCAGGTGACGGTGCCAGGGAAGGTGGAGTGTGGTGAGCTGCTTGCCGGGCACGACCGCTGACACCAAATCTGTAGACGTGCACCACCTCTTTCTCCTCCACGCAAGCCAGCCCCTCCTGCTGAAAGCTGTTAAGCCTGCCGTTTGGATTTCTTAGAATCCCAGCTCCCCAGGGACCTTTCTAGGGACAAACTGACCTCACACTGAAATCCTGGCAGGTTTTGTAGCTTCTGGATTGCTTGTTGCAACAGTTCTTAGGAAGTGCGATTCGCTCCTACATCTGCATCTGTCCATGCTTGCTCCTACCTACGCCCAGGAAGAGCCGGTGAGGCCCAGCTTCTGGGGATCCTGCACAGCCCAACCCTGAGGCTGCTCTCCTTGCCTCCAAACACACTGTATAGGTATCTGGGAGCACAGACACCGTGGAAGCCGCCAGGAGGAGACTCAAGAGAAGACCTGCAGTTTTCAGTATTCAAAAGCACCCGTGGTGGTGGTTGATGCTGAGAACACCTGGTTCACTGTAGAGCTTTGTAACTGCTGGACTAATCGTTTTGTTTCTCCGGCCCAGCCAAGGAGGGATCAGTACCTATCCTGGGCTTGGAGGGAATGTACACGAGAGCCTCAGAGGTTGTTTGGCTTGGCTCTGACTCACCCTGACTCTGCAGTGAAGCAGAAAGGAGGAAACATCACACCACCCAGGTGTGGCCGGCCTTCGACCATTATTGCAAATCCCCAAGAGTTCCCACAAGCTCTCATTTAACCTTAGTTGTGGTTACACTAAGACTTTGGGCTCAGGAAAGCTGTAGAAGAGGAGACAGGATGAGGCGGGAAGAGGAGGAAGAGGAGGAGACCAGGATGAAGGCAAAAGGGGACTTAGAGATGAAGGAGGAGCAGGATGGCGGCGATTCGGGAGAACCCGTGGGCCCTTTTGCAAGTGCCCCGCCCACCCCAATGCCCCACAACAAGGGGACCCGGTTTTCTGAGGCATGGGAGTATTTCCACCTGGCCCCTGCTCGTGCTGGCCACCACCCCAACCAATATGCTACCTGCCGCCTATGTGGCAGGCTGGTGAGCCGTGGCCCTGGGGTCAACGTGGGCACCACAGCCCTGTGGAAGCACCTGAAAAGCATGCACAGAGAGGAGCTGGAGAAGAGTGGCCATGGCCAGACAGGGCAGCGCCAGGACCCAAAGCCACAAGGGCCTCAGCTCCCCATGGGCATTGAGGGAGACTGGGCCAGGTTCGTGGAGCAGGTGGGGGCCCTGGCTTTATGGGCCAGCCAAAGAGAAAAGGAGGTACTTAGGAGGGAGAGGGCCGTGGAATGGCGGGAGAGGGCCGTGGAAAGGAGAGAGCGAGCCCTGGAGGAGGTGGAAAGGGCCATCCTGGAGATGAAGTGGAAGGTGAAGGCTGAGAAGGAGGCCAGCCAGAGGGAGAAAGACCTGCCAACAGCAGCGCATCCCTTTCATTTTGTTTAAATCGGGCTTTGGGGCATCTATTCTGAAAACACTCACTTTAGACTCATAGCAAGCAGCTTAAGCACAAAGCAAAGTAGTTTAGTGTTTTGTTTTGGTTTTTTTTAAGAGAAAGAGCTCATAGGATGGGTTAATTTCCGCAGTCTGAGTTGACTAAATGCTTTTCAACAGGGTTCTTAGAGCTGTACTGACCCTTGGCCCCAACTTCAAAATGTACTAGTTACAGATAAACGTGTTGTTGCCACCAGGGGTCCGTGAGTTGTTTTGTGGAGGAATGTACCAGTCTGTCAGCACTGATGAGTGAAGATAACCGAATTTCTGCCTAGCGCTTAGTTTTGGTGGAGCTGAAGGTTTTGACGGTTGAGGCTGGTCGGGCAGCTGGAATGTGCCTACGTGACCAGCTCACTCTGAGATCCTACCACGAGCAGAACCTAGGCATCTTTGGACCGAGGTGTTTGCACTTATACGGGTGGTGATTCGAGAACTGGATTCAAAGCTTGTCCTTTGGGCCCAGCAGTGGAAGGACAAAGAAGCTTGAGCCTGAGCTCTCCAGACCCTTCCAATGCATATCTTTCTCCTGTTGTTGCAGTGTTGTACCACCCGCTTGTATTAAAGCTGTGTCATCGATACAACCTGCCTGAATCCCGTAAGTCTTTTCATCACTCTAACACTTACATAATTAATGTGTAATTATCACAGAGAGATAAAAGACTTTTCAACTCACTTGAATTGAACCGTAAGAATAGAGGATATAAAAATCGATTCATAAATATTTAAAAATATGATAACATTTCATATTAAAGTTTGTTGAAGGAGAAGCAGTTAGTGAGGAAGAGATGAAAGAAACTCAGAAAGAAAAAGAAAAAAGTGGAGAGATGGGGTAAATGAGGAGGAATAAAGAACAGAGGCAGAAAAGTGAAAAAAAGAAAAAGGGATAGAGACGAAATATGAAGATAGGAGAAGAGAGACAGCTGCCCAGAAAAAAACTCACCATGGAAAGATAAAGGAGACCAGGACATATGGGAGCCTGAAGGGCAGAGACCCAGATCTTGAGGCCAGTTTTAATGAGTTAAATGCTTTGTTTTGTCCCCACAGACCACTGCTCATTCATTTGACCTGCAGGTTTTAGATTTTATTCCAGCCTCTGAAATGCTAACTGCGTGCCAATCCATTGTTCTCTGATTTTTTAAAAACTGTTCATCTTTAAACATTCATAGATGCTTTGAAAAAAGGGAGTCTAATAATCCGTAGGGAGAGAAAAATTCCCTGGGCAGCTGAGCATATGCCTAAAATCTTAACTCAGGAATAAAATAAAATCAAAGTGAAAACTACTCTGGCCTTTGCACTGGAGCTGGCTTGTTTTGGATGATTCCTCTAGAACCTGCAGTCTTTTTTCAATTGAGTTGGGAGTGGGGAAGGGGGATGGTGAGAGCTGGGGAAGACAAGAGGAGGTGAAGACAGCATCTTACCACCTTGCAGATAGCCCGAGTACTTTATGAGCACTAGCTCCCTGAACGTGGACAAGATCCTGACATAATCGTGGCTTCCTGCCTCATTCAGTCCTCGCCTATATGGCTCCGTCTTACTGCTTCTTAGACTCCTCAGCATCTCTAATAGCCAGATCAGTCTTTCCTGGGAGCTGTTTGTGGAACAAACACAAGTCCAAACTACAGGCTTGTGAAAAACCCAGGTTGTACTGCAGTCCTGTAATCCCTTTTTTTCTAGAAATCTGTCTGATGTTAAAGATTTCAGTTCCCATGTGGTTTCACCACAGGAGGGTGGTGCCCCTTTTAGGGTCCTCGCCGTCCTGCTAAAATCTGATGTGTGTTTTTAGATTATGGTGCCTGTTTTACATGGTTCTTATTATTTTAGCCTCTCTTCCTTTTTAGGCATTTTAACCTTGACTGCTTTTATTTCCTATGTTTCATGTTAGATAGCTTTGTTTTACTTTTGCCCCTAAATTTTGTCAAACATAGTAAAGGTAGAGAGTGACAAGGACAGAAACATGGAGATGATGGACTTAAAGCACAAAACACAGGCATAAAGGAAAGACTGAACTGTTGAGTAAACTCTGGAATTTCCACGCATCTCTCTTGTGCTTTCTTTTGGTGCATCACCAGAGTGAGGCATGGAGGGCCATGGGCTGTGGGCTGAAGGGCTCTTTGGCCCAGCACCTTTTGCTGTACTGCAAAAATCCGCTACATGAAGGGCCCTGAGGTTAAGGCTAACCTAAAGACTGACTTTCCTTCTCAGCCGCATGCTGTGGTCGAGCCCTGGTGAAGCCTTGCCCTCAGGAACACACAAGAACACCGCATCCACAGGTGTGGCACTCTCCTTGGACATCCCTGGCTTGTCTAAGCCTGAGAGGCATCATTGTTTGAATAATTTGGGTAATTTTCTATTTTACTGGAAAACTAAATTAATCATAAACTTTATAACTTTAACTAGTAATTCTGGAAAACATAACTCACAACTGACCAAATCCCTATTGTTCTAACACCAAGGGCTGCTGGTGTAGAAAATATGTAGCACATAGTAGGCATCCGATAGGTGCATGTTGACTTAGTTAATTTCTAAGGAGTGAAGAGAGAGGGGTAGGAAATTACCATTACCCAACACTTGTGGTTGCCAGATGGTAGACACTTTGCACACATTCTCTCATTTGATCCTTATATCACCTTTGTGAGGTTGGGATCATTACCCCTGTTCACTGATGAGGAAGCTGGGGAACTGACCTCCCAGGGACCAGAGTTCATAAGTCATGGAGGAGGATGCAGACCCAGGTCTATCAGATTCCACAATCTGCTTTTTCATTATCCCACACTGCCTCCTAGAATCAATCATGTAGTAGATTTATGCATATACATGCAGAGGAAGGAATGGGTGAAAGAGAGTGGGTGAATGATAAATAGCAGGAAGAAAGAAATATTCCTGAGACATCTGCTACGTGCCATCTATGTGTTACTGTGCGTAAACTTAATTCACCTAAGAATCCTGTGGAATATTTATTATGATCCCGGTTTAAGAGATGAGCTAGGTGAGACTCACAGAGGTTAACTACTTGATGAAGTTCTGTAGCTAGTGAGTGGTCAAATTAGGATTTGACGTTAATTTTATCTGTCCCTAAACCATGATCTCCTTTCATGATACCATCCTGCTTGGATGTGAGGATGCTGAATTCTCGTCGCAGCTTTGCCCTTTATTAGTGACTCAGCCAGTGGTTCAAATTCTTCAGGTCCCAGTTTTTCACTTGTAAACTGGCAGATTGCCTAGCTATTTCAGAGGTTTGTTGGGAGCGTCACATGACAAAAGCATGTGAAAGGGCTTTGAAGAGTTAATGAGTTATTAAAAGTACAATGGGGATTATGAGAATATGAAAGTGAGGAATTACTAATGTTTGGCAAGATGTTAAAAGACCCATAGGCAAGTTGTGTCCTGTAGCTGGTTATGTGGAATTGGTGAGAGAATATTCACTAATTCTCCAGGAAGGAAGGTTCTCTGGTTTTCCCAGCCAGCACCTAGGCAAGCATGGGTACAGAAGAGGGAATTTCAAAACATGTAAGAAAAAGTCCTCTTTTTTAAAAACTGGAGTTCTTGGATCTGATCTTGTGGTTCCATATCTGGATTGAGTCCATATTACCTGTAAACTCTGGCACCGAGAACCCACGAGAAATCCTTGTAAGAATCAAAAACGTCTACCAAACATTGTACCTGTAGATTATTTGTCTTATTTGAACTATTGAAATGAAGTCCACCAATAAAATTAGAAATTAATTGTGGCAGAACAAAAAATTTAAAATCTTTTTCTATATACTCAGGACTACAACAGCAATTATCTAAGAGGCTAATACATAAAATCAACAAAAGACACAAATGCTTGGATAATGCATGCATACACTCATCTAAAACCATCCCACAGAGTCTGAACTATGATTTGTATGCAGCTGTCAAGTTAAATGACTGATATTCAGCGAGAGCAGAAATCACAAGTTATTTAATGTTCTTGGGGCTAGAAGAAACCAGACTATGGGTATAATTTTCTGTCATTCCATGTAAGAGGGAAATGTTTGAGAATTAATAAGAATATTTATTTCACTTGGGTTTTGAAAAGCTTGAATGAAGTCGTAATGCCACAATAATGCCAGCTGCTTAATATGCATAATAGTCCCAACAACAATAATGTCTATTGAGCACTTCCTATATGCCATGCAAAACTAAGAACTTTTCATACATTATTTCATTTAATTATTAAAAACAACAAAAACGTGCAGATGCTCTTCTTATCCCCTTCATATAGATGGGGAAACTGACTACAAAGACATGAAGTAATTTGCCCAAGGTCACAGCCGGCAAGAGGAAGAGCTGGCAAATGAGCCCTGATCCCAATGGCAATGACTAGAGGCTGGGAAGACCTACAAGAAATTGAAGTCAGAGGGCCCTGCTCACTTTTCCTTTTCTCTTTACTGCCTAGGACGTAGCCAGGGCTCTGAAGGCATACAGAAGGCCACATTTCCTCTCATTACTTCAAAATAAAAACAACGGGAATGCTGGTACAGAAAATGGATTAGAACAAATTAAATGTCAGCTCAGCAAAAACCTTATTTTTACACCAGGATTCACACTGCTTTCTGCCCTGCTTTTCCTTCACTATCTACTTCAGTTTTTATTAGAGAGAAATTTAAACTATTGAGACAAATTTTTCCAGGAAATTTAAGAACTAAGTATCACAAATCCAGTGTTCTGAAAACCCGAAGTCGAAAAGTAAGGATTCCCATTTGGTTTCTAGAATCAGTTCAGCTTCCCTTCATCTCCACTAGAAATTAATTGGCTGAGGGCCAAGGAAGCAGGACCTTGGAGAAAACATTCTGGACAATGATGCAACCCGACATACCTTGGCATATTGTATCGTAGATTTTCAAAGGCTTTAACGTGACTCACCTTTCCCAAGACATCCATGGAGTTATTTTCCACAATCACGGGGGTTTCTGGCTTAGCTTAAAGGCAAATAAAACACAGTTAGTGGCACTGAATGCCATCTTACCTGGCTACGTGTGTGTGTGTGTGTGTGTGTGTGTGTGTGAAAGATTCAAAGTTCATCAAATATTTATTAAACACCTACTGTGTGCCCAGCAGCACACTAGATGCGTAGGAAACAAAGGTAGACAGATCATACTCATTGTCCTCAAGAAATTTACATTTTCATGGAAAATACAGACACGTTAACTAGAAATTAGAACACACTGAGATAAGTACAGTAATTGAGGACGTGTAGGATTTAAACTTCTAAAAGAAAATTCTATCCTGACGTTGGAGGGAAAGAGGAGGCTTTTGGAAGATGTAACATCTAACTGATACTTGAATGGTGATTATCAGTGAGTCAAGTGAAATAGGGAATGTGGAGGAGGGGAGGGGCGGGTGGTGGGGAGAGAGAAGAGAGTATACTGTGTGCCCAAAGGCCTAGAAATAAGGTATAATTTATAGGCCCCTGAAGGGGACAGGGAAAACACTGGATATTTGTTTGGTAGCTTGGCACTAGAAGCATTCAGGGACTATTTTGGTGACTTTGTTGTCCTGCTAGATTGTAAGTGCCTTGAAGCCAGACTGCTTTATTCATCTCTCCACCTCCAACACTTACAGTGCCCAGCG